CTTACTCCTTCAGTCTGCGTGTCAATAGAATCCTTGGCAACTTCCTGTGTCATTTCTTGCCCCCCCCCCACTCCCACCCCCTTTGGTTGCTGTTCACCAATTTGTCTTTCCAAAGACAGCCTGTCAGCAGTTCAAAGTGTGTATTTTATCTCTAGTCTCCTAGACTGTTCATTTTAATTATTAGTAAGAGGCAGCAAGGCTGATACATAAAAGTAAGTGACCACCTACACTCTGTCATTGAAAAGGCACAAGGATTAAGTCCTTCCTGTGCAGAGTGCCCGAAATCCCAGACGAGAGACTCATTTCTCTGATTTCAAAAATTTTAATATTTTAGGAAAGCTTGATCAAATTGCAAATACTCTTTTCTACTTACCCTTAAGTTCTTCTACATAGACTACTGTGGTAATTGCCAGATTATGTATGTTATCTTATATTGCATTGTACATTGTAATTATTTGTATGCCTCTGTGCCTGCTCCCTCCACCCCCAAGACTGTAAGCTATTTCCACAGAATGGTGTTTCAGTCCTTATACCTTAGGGTCTAAGGTAGTACATGGTGACAGCAGGTCTAAATACATGGTTGTCGAGTTAACAAATATAAAATATAAGTGGAGAGACAAGAAACGTACACCAGTAGCTTCTAATGCATTCCTTTTACCTGTAATACTAAGTATCACTTAGGGAATTGAGTCACTTGATGCAACAGAAAACCCAAATAGCAATGACTTAAACACAAGATGGAAAATTTTTCTCATGTAATAAGAAGTCCAGGGGAAGGAAATTACTGGTATCGATTTGGAAGTTCAAGGATGTCATAGCTAAAACCTCAGTAATAATCCTGTCCTTTTAATGATGCAAGGTGGCTGCTCTAGTTCCAGTCGTCATGTGTAACTTCCAGGAATGAGAAAGAAAGGGCCAGAAGGAAGATAAGGCAATATCTGTATCAAGAAAGCAGAACCTTCCCAGAAATTTCGTCTGATTTCTCTTTATATTTCACTGAACAGAATTATGACAGATTGTCTCCCATAGCAACAAGAAGAATGAGAAAATAAGGGGATTGTATTTCCTTTCTCTCTCTCTGTCTCTCTCTCTGTCTCTCTCTCTCTCTCTCTCTCTCTCTCTCTCTCTCTCTCTCTCTCTCTCTCTGTTTGCCTGCAACAATACTGGGATTCCACAAATAAGAAGGAGAGGAGAATGAATATTTAGAGTAAGCCATGATAAATCTGTCGCAGAGGCATACTGAGTATACGAATGCTGGGAGAGTCGATGTAACTATAAGACAGTCATTGTAAATGAGAGCACATATGATGTCAACTAATGGCTGCTTCACTGTCCTGCCTAATAATGGGGGACTGTAATCAGGCATTTTGATCTATGCACTTTGAAGCCTGATTGAGGCATGGGCCTTACAGGAATCCTAACACAGTGTATTTCTGTTTTCCATTCAGCTTCTTCATGGGCTTCACAAATAAAAGTTTTCCTGAGCATTGTCTATATATCTGGCACTATGATACATTAATATACTACGTGCCTTCAAGCTGCCCACTTTAAACTGAACTTTGCAATAACAGAACTGAGCATAGGGTCTTGCAGTGGTCCACTGAAGAGGCACGTAACTCAGATTTGGTGCTTGTGGAGTGGGAGTTTAGCTGGGGAAGAACTGTTATAGGAGAAAATGGAGCCCACCAAAAGAAGTGCAGAAGGATGTTACTGGCATAGAGCATTAGTGCATAGAGGCACAGGAAGGCAAAGAAAATAAAAAGCACTCTGGGATTTATCATTTTTTCAGTGGCGCAAAGCACAGAATTCAACGGTTGAGGACAATGGTAGTGAGATAAATTAGAAGAGAGGTAAGCAAGAACCAAAGGGTCACTTTGGACAATGAGACACTAAGTAATTTTAAGCTGTTATTAGTTCTATGCTTTAGGAAAATTATCGTGGTCCTACTGGGGACAATTTATTTAGACAGGTAACACTGGAGAGAGAGAATTCAGTTAAAGGACTATTCCAGTTGTTGAAGTGAAAAATATGAAGGCCTACCCCAAAACAATATCAAAGGATTTGGAAAAATAGGTACTGATTCCATGGACATTAAACAAGTCAAAGTTAAAGAACACATTCAAGAAATGTGTGTGTGTGTGTGTGTGTGTGTGTGTGTGTGTGTGTGTGTTAGTGGGCAGGCAAGGGGAACAAGTGGGGCAGAAACGAGGGTAGAAAATTAAGACAACTCCAATTTCTTCAATCATTCACTGATTCAATAATGATTGAGCCAACTTTCCGAAGGATAGCGTGTGTTTGGGGTAATGTGCTACCTCAGTAAGATATAACATACACACTTGTTCATATTAATGTCCATACATCTGACCCAAGAAAAACATGAGACAACTTCATCAAAAAAACTCAGCCATTGAAACTGAGTTCACTGAGCCAAGTGCCATTCGATGTGTTCTTGAATCATAGTTGAACAGCCTACTTCCTAGAGCAAATCTCAAGGGCCAAGGGGATAATATGAAACACAAGATTTTATTAAGCAAAGAACAAGCGTGTTCACAGCATGTTTCCATGGTGAGTTACTTAGAAGACTTCAAAACGACTTATTAACAAAATGAGAAACTTACTACATTGACCTCTGTAGCAATTGAAGAATAAAATCTGCTATCTAAAATATCAGGAAAAAATTCTTGAACCACGAGGAAAATGATGCAGCTTCACAGAGCTAATCCAAATAATTACATACTAAATAGAATAGCATAGTACATAGGAATAGTTTATGTTCCCAGGTCGAGAGAAAACCAACAGAAATGGTGAGTTGAAGCATGCAACAGTTTCTAAAATTAGCATTTTATTATCCTGCCTTTATATTATGCATAAAGGTACTTTAAGGTTCACTAAACCAAAAGTCCTTGTCACTGCTCTTACCAGCTCAACTATGCTAATAAAAGGAATCTCTTACTGCACTCACTGCCTAGTTTTAAAAAACTATAAAGAATAAATGCCAGTCATTCTGGTTTCCAGAAAAGAAGAGCATCCATGTTAAAGGATCCACTTCCTCTTTTTGAAAAGATTGTTTTTCTCTATGTTGATGCATTGTGAGATTATTTGACTTTAAGAATAATGAAATCAAATTAGCATAAATGAGTAAATATGATTAAAGCAAATGTACAGCATACTGGTTATGAGCTCACTTTAGGTCAGAAAAGACCTCGATTAGAGTCCTGGCTTTTGCATTAATCATGTTTCTTAACCTCTCTAAGCCTCATCAATAATATAGAAATACTAGCACCTAGTTCACAGAATTGTTGTGACAAGTAAGTGCTCGTGAGGCACCCAGCCCCAAATCTGGCTTATAGTAAGTCTTAAATACACATTAATGTAAAGGATGAATTAATATCTTGTGAAGTAGCAACTTTTACCGAAGAAGACTTTGAGTCTCTGAAGAGGTAGGTGGCTTGCCCAAGGTTACGGTGTTCATCAATATGAGAACCATGATTCAAACACAGGTATAGTATGGTAGGTTCATTGCTCTGATGTGTTTGTACTCTACATTTTAGAAGATATCCTTTCAACAAGCCAGAACTTAATATAAATACTGTACTGAGCTTAAAGCTTCAGAATTAAATGAGGCAGCATACAGAACAAAATGAAAGTAAAAGCTGTCTACTGCAAACAGTTCAATATTATAACCCTAAAAATGACCAGGCTTAGAACATAGAACCTATGAGAAACCATCAAAATAATTTAGTCTGGAGAAGAGACAGTAGGGGGAAATAGAATGGCAATTATCAAATTTAAAGGCATGTAGTTTAAAATATTATGCACACTTTTACTTTGCAAGGATGGTTTAATTATTCCCAAAGGGCTACAGATTAAATGCAAGGAAAAATGATAGTTATAAAAGAGGTACTAAACTGACAATTTTGAATGAGAATTTAAGGGGTTGGGGTGATTTGAGGGATAGATGAGAGCTCTATTTATGATTCAGGGATGAATTATGTTTAAATGTGCAAGTTTTGTGGCTATAGAGAGGCTGATGGGTGGTAAGGAAAATCTCAAAACTTGGATTAACTTTTTTCTCACCATGAATATTTCAAAATCAAAACATGTCTGAATTTTCATGTGTAATTTAAAGTGCCCATGAGTTTACCAGAAAGAAACTGCAATTTGTCACTTAACAGTTAGTACCACCACAGAATTTGATTATCCGGTAAAATTTCACCTACGTATATAATTTCACATTTACTAAATGATATGTTATTGGTTATTAATTTAAACTAAAGTAGTTTGAGGATAAGATATTTCCAAATTCTACTCTCAAGCTGACGAGTGACTACAGATATAACCATGGGCAAGGGCAAGGAAAAAAAACTAATTGATATTTCCAGATAGTTACACACCATACTGACCAAGTCAATCTACCATTAAAAAAAAATGCCCATCGTCATCTAATAGCAAAATGAGATTTTAAAAACAATGTCTAAATGTCTCATAAACATATCATTATACAATCACACCAGGGGGCGCTCTTAACACTGAAATGATGGATGACATTTTGAAACACGTGGTAGTCTCAGCAGGCCAAAATGAAAGATTTTTGTAACCATGTAGTACTTGCAACAAGTGCTTATCTCTCCAAATTGTTTGCTGACAAAATACATATTCTCTTTTGCATCCAACTGTTTATGTTGTTAAAACTGTATTTAGTGTATTAAGTAAAACATTTTTTGCTGATAGAAAGTCTCTTTCTTTGGAAACATCTGTTTATTTGGACTGACATCTGTCTTATTCTTTCTGTTGTTAGGCTAATTCTGAATAATATAGTGCTTACGAGTACATACAACTTTAAAAAACGGTTTCACTGTCAATTTGATTTTTTATAAAATTTCTTTTCGTTACTTTGTTTTCTTTTGTTAAAAAAAGAGATTCTCAAAGCAACCTAAAATTGGCACTAATAGTGAAATTTTTATCTGGGCAGTGTGGGCCTTTTCCATATTTCTCATTACCTGGTAGGAATTCTGAAGTTCAGATGCTCTCCTCAGAAAGTTCAAGGTTCAGGTTCCTGAAAAATATAATTAGAAAATCAGTGTGAGGCTTCAAGAAAACAGAAAAAGACAAAAGGTAATTGTGGGCCATATTACCCAGAGAAAAATCACCACATACTACTACTCCAGTAACAGTAATATTTTTATATAAATGTATCTGATGAAATAAACTTTAACAAGTAACTTAAAAGTTGAAAAGAGAGAATCAAAAAGTATATGAAAGGAAAAGGACATAGCTACCCCTCTTCTATTGTGGTGAAAAAGGAGTTTATAAAATTTTCACAGCCAATGTAGAGGAGATCACCCCTTTTTTTCTACCAGCTGCCTCTGTGAGTCACCATCTACCTATGCGCACGTTCAAACAGGGAGCATTCTAGCCAAGGTTCACCTAATATGTATAGAGAGTAAGTAGCTACTTATTCAATGTAAGTTCAAGGGAATAGGCATGAACCTTTCTACTGTTTGTGCCCTAAATTAAATCAACAAGCATATTAATGTCTCAAATTCTGTTGATAGGAAAGGGAAAAACAATCATTCTATAACAAGAGTATTGGTATACAGTAAAAATACACCTGGAGAAAATAATACATTTATTTACTACTTTAGACCAAAGTGTATGTGAATGATGGGAAGTCCTAGCTATGCAGAAACAGATTTTAACAGTGTTTGAGGGTGTGGGGGAGAAGGAAAAAAAGACAAACATAGGACGAAAAGAAGACAGGCCACAGGAGAGCAAACCCTGCAGGAAAGTACGTGAGGAGAGGCGTCTGGTGGCTACCATTACCTGTGTTACTTCGGAGTCAAACAAGTACTGAGAGGTTCATCAAAGCAAATGCAGTCTTGTTTGATGAGAGGCAACACTTGACATGAAGCAATCCAGTATATGGCAAAGCCGCACGAGTTTCCATCTATAGCAAATCAGAGAGCGGTGGTGTTGGGGTTCCATGGGGTCTATCCTGTTACAAGCAGGCCCTGAGTCAGATGCTAGAAAGTAAAGCTAGAATTTACTTCCCACTGGAATGGTTGCCAGGGAGCCACCAAGTGACCTATGTTTTGCATCAGGTCCTAGTGCCACGTGAAGATGAGGACACTAACCAAGAAATGGCAAATTTAAAAAAGGTTTGATAAATTGGATGCTGGTTATGAGAGAATAGGAAGGGTCAAGGAAAACACAAAGGTTTTTTATCTGAGCAACTGAAAGGACAGAGCTGCCATTAAGTAGGACTAGGAAACTATGGAAAATGCAGGTTACTGAGGGAGATAATTATTTTTATTTGGATACGTCCATTAGATATACCCAAGAGGAGCAACACAAAGCAAGCAGTTAGCTGTATAGTCTGGAATTTAGATATGGAGATCAAGCTCTACACACAAAAGAGAACACTGTCCACTCACTGACAGTATTTAAATCAATGAGATACAAGAGGAAGTGAGTGCAGAGAAGAGAGAGGGCAGAAGACTAGCCTGGAGTAGGTAGACTTTTAGGTGGCTCCATTATCCCTGCCTCCCGGTGGTCATGTCCTTCTAGGATTTCCATTACCTACTGTGTGGGCAGCACCTGTAACTGGTTTCTAACCAATAGACTATGTGCAGGATATATATGAATTACACTGTGTAATCACATTATTACATTATATAAAATTATAGCACCCATTTTGCTGGAGCTTTTCCTTCAGTAGTTGATTTTGTGGAAGCAAGCAGCCATGTTGGAGAACCCACCTAGCAAATAACTGGGGGCAGCCTCTAGCTGGCATTTCATTAAGGGGTCCAGCCTCCAGCTAACAAGATAATGACGCCCTCACTACTATAACCTCAAGAAAAGAAATTCTGCCAACAACGAGGAAAACTGGAAATAAATCCTTCTCTAGTCAAGCATTCAGGTGATACCCCAAATATCCTGACTGCAGTCCTGCAGAAGATATAGGTAAGCTGTGCCCCAAGTTCTGACCCAAAGAAACTGTGAAATACTAAAGGTGCGTTGTTTTAAGTCACTAAATTTGTGGGAATTTGTTATGCAACAATAGAAAAGTAATGCAAGCCCCGAGTTACTACATTTAGAGGCCAAGGAGAGAGGAGAGAGACACGAGAAAAGGACCAAGAAAGAGAGGCCAGTGAGGTAAGAGAAAACCCAAAGGAAAAACGTTAAGAGGTTTAAAACCAAGGTTTACTGCCAGCTCCCTTCAGAGAAATCTGAAACAGAAAATAAGGAGCAAAGGCAAAGATGAGTCGGCTGACCTGCTAAAGGCTCATAGGTAATCATGGTGAAAAGGACAAGAGAAACCAAGTGGAGTCCACCGCATTCCAGCCTTGGGGTGCTCTACTTTTCCCCTTCCTAGAATAAAAGGCATGGGAATTGGTAGAAGACAAAAAGCGTTCAGTTCTTTCTGCTCTAGATTCACTTACAATATGATTAGTCCTTGCATTGAAAATTTAGTTATTTTTTAGCAATAATGAATTTTCCTGCAGATTTTTATTTTATTTTGTTTTCGAGGAGATAGGGTCCCTTGTTATCTAGCCAGCTCATAGGTAATCACTACTGAAAGGGATACAAGAGAAAAGCCAGGTCGTGTCACATTCATCCCAGCCTACTTCCAAGGAGAAAGTGGTAAGAGGCAATGCTAAGTGAATGACATGCAACCTTATTAGGTTCCCCAGAAAACCTAATTAGTGCCAGGGTTGTGTTACTTCATGATTTATAAGGCTTTGAAAGTTGGTATTTCAAAACTGGCTAACACTTAATACCAATCAAAGTCAGCTCATTTTAATTACTAAGTAGCTAACATAGCCTATTTTTAAACTTTTCATTGTTACTGAACACGTTTAGATAGGCTTTTAATTTATTTTTTAATCAATACAACCAAATCTAATGAGTATGTAGTATGTGCAAGGTCTAAATTAACTAGGTCTAACTCAGTGAAAGAGGCTGCCCTGCTACTTTTTGTACATCTGTAATCTGTATGCAATCTTATACTATTTATATTGTCACACAATGGAAGACTCTATTATGTCCTAACGTGATTAGTATTCAGCTTTTATTTAGATTTATCTACAGTGAGCATCTTATTTTCCTATAATGCTTTGAAATCAATTTCTTCTCCATTCACTCAATGAAGAAGTATTGAGCACTTACTTAGTTACATAGAAAGGCAAACTGAATTAAAAAAAACAAATAGAGGAGAATTCAAAGTTTTTGTTTTATAATAATAATACTATCCAAAATGTGTCCCTTTTATGTTAATATTCTCTCTCTCTCTCTCTCTCTCTCTCTCTCTCTCTCTCTCTCTCTCTCCCTCTCTGTGTGTGCACACGTGTGTGTGTGTGTGTGTGTGTGTGTTGTAGACCCCTGAATAACGCAGGGGTAGGAGTCTTACCCTCTGCAGTTGAAAAACTGAAAAACCAAGTATAACTTTGACTCCCCCAAAAGTTAGCTAGAGTTGGCCCTTGGTATCTGCAAGGGGATTGGTTCCAGGACCCCCCGAGGATACCAAAATCCACAGATGCTCAAATCCCTTACATAAAATGATGTAGAACAATGCATACCGGCATCCCTCCACATCTGAGAATCTTGTTATCCATCAGCAGTTAGCTGAATCCATGATGCAAAACCCATGGATACTGTACTTATTGAAAATGCATACACATTAAGTGGACCCACACTGTTCAAATGCATGTTGTTCAAGGCTCAATTGTGTGTGTGTGTGTGTGTGTGTGTTAGGCAGAGTAAATACACACACACATACCAGGGGTGCCAAAAAATGTATGCATATGACTTGTATTCATCTTTTGTTATTGGTATATATTGAGTGTTACAGTTTTAACAATTTTTTTCTCTCTTAAAATGTGTATACATTTTTTGGCACCCTCTGTGTGTGTGTGTGTGTGTGTATATATATACAGTAACACAAACACACACAAAATACATATTTATCAATATATATTCTTCCTGACCTAGAAATACAGCTGTGCCCCTTGCACCATCAGCTTTTCCCCAGATTGGTCCATCATCAAGGCTAACAGATTACATCAATTGCTCCTATGTTTCAGTCTGTTCAATTTAGCAGTCTTAATTATTCTCAGTAAAGTCCTTGGCATTGTGAGGCACTAAGACTTGATCATGGCTTGCAGAGTTTTCAACTTATTACTAAGAGCTTTTCTATTCTTTTTCTGCCTATCTTCACTTGAATATATGCACCTCCATAGCAGAGACTCCTATTAGCTTTTCACTGATATGCATTTTAGCACATAGTATGTGCTCAATATTCATTATTTGACTGATTAGGTATTTGCCAAAATGACTGCAGTGGCTTGCATGAAAATGAAAATACAGAAGGTCCTCAAATGACATAATTTTGTTCAACAGTTTTACTATAAATGTTAATGAGGGAAAAAATCAATTACAGGTCAGGGCCACTGTCTGTGTGGAGTTTGCGCGTTCTCCCCTGTCTGTGGTTTTTCTGGGCACTCCAGTTTCCTCCCACATCCCAAAGATATACACATTAGGAGAAATGGCGCATCTCAATTGTCATAGGATGGGTGTGGGTATGTGAGTGCCTGCTGCAGTGGAAGGGCGCCCTGTCAAGAATGGGTTCCCACCTTGCACCCTAAGATGCTGGGTGGGACAGGCTCTGGCCACCCACGACCCTGAACTGGAATAATCAGGTTAGAAAGGAATTATCTTACTTGTTTTTATTAATATTCCTTAAATATGTATACAGCTCACATTTATTTCAATGTTTAATATTAGAAATGTTTTAAGTTTTTATTCAGAAGTTTGGTCATGATTTGTGACCATAAATATTCCATAGGAACTTAACATTTGTTTGTATCAATTAGCCTATGGTAAAATTGGTTTTGTTATACATCATTTCATGTGAAGTCACAATTTCCAAGAACCTATCAATGACATTAAGTGAGGACTTACTGTATACATTTAGACAAACAAATGGAAATATACCATTAAGTAAATGTATATTAACTATAACTAAATAAAAAGGACCTATTTTAAACTATGTTAAGC